AAAGTTGCTGTTGGGGTTGCTTTAAATGCACCTGTGCTGAGTCTTAGTGCCTGATACTGAATGAAGTCTAACTTCAAAAGAGTTGTGTCTGCTGCTGAATTATATGCTACACATCCATAATCTAACACCGATCTGACCAATCCAGTGTATATGGCCCTCAAAGACTTTCTATCCGCTCCCCAATCCATCCCCCCCCCCACACACACACCTCATTATATTTACATTCATCCACCATTTTCTGAATGTGTACAGCCTATGTTACCCTTTCATCCAACTACAATCCAAGAAACTTAAATTTACTCACTCTTTCTTGACCATATAACCTAAGCTTGACGTCCTCACCAATTCTTTTCCTTGTAAAAAAACATGTCTTGGTCTTATCAACTGAAAATTTAAAACCCCACATAAATGACCACTCTTCAACTTTTCCAGTTGCTCCCTGCAGTTTTTTTTTTTTTACAATACAATGCAATAAATAATACAATAAACTCTACATTATTTCCTCTCTTCATCTGCAAAAAGCGAAAACCCTATCCCAACCTCTATGTCATTAAACACAACATTTATCATTAAAGAAAATAACAAAGGGCTCACAATGCTCCCTTGAGGTGTAACGTTTTCTACAGGATACCTCTCCGAGTAAATCCTTCCAATTCTCACTTGCATCTGTTTTCCCCTTAAAAAAAAATTCTTTATCCATCTGAACATCTTCCCACTGATACCCAATTTCCTGACTTTAAGGCCTTCTCTCCACATCATATTGTAGGCTTTTTCTATGTCAAAAACAGCACCACTACACTCTGTTTATTTGTGCTTTCCTGACTTCATGTTCCAAACACAATACTCGATCCACTGTATTCCTCCCTCTTCTGAAACCACTTTGATGTTTAGATATGTATCCTTTACTTTCTATATAGTACATTAGTCTTTCATTTACCATTCACTCCATTATTTTACAGATATTAGATGTTAAAGCTATAGGTCTGTAACTTTCTGGATTTGTATCATCCTTTCCTGGTTTACGTATGGGCACATCCACTGCCTCCTTCCCGGTTTGGAACAGCTTTTTCCCACCCTCCCAAACTCTGTTATATAATTCTAATAAAAGATCTTTAGCTGACTCACTGAGATAGTTTATCAAGATATAGCAAACCTGATTTTTTCACGGTGCTGATAATTTGGATTTCTGAAGCACTCAATTCAATTCTGTCTTTGTAAAAGGAATATTTAATAAATCATCTGTATCTTCTTCCTGTTTCAGTAATTCCCTATTCTCTATGTTTCTCTTCCTCTTCGCCCTTCTTCACTAACATTTTCTGAACTATGGATTTTAACAAATGTTTTGCGAACAGATTTGCCTTTTGCTCATCTTTTACAGCTGTTGCTTCTCCATCCCTCAATATTGGATATCCATACTCCCTTTTTATACCATTCATCCTTCTAATCATTGACCAACCACTCTGTATTTTTGTCTCCCTCCCTACTGAATTACAAAAACCCCTCCAGAAGTCACTCTTTGCATTTTGAATGGATCTTCTCAGCTCAGCTTGCAATCTTTTATATTCAATGAAATTCTGAAAACTGTGTTTCCTCTTTAATATCTTAAAAGCTTTATTTTGATGCTTAATCACTTTATCACACTCCTTTGTCCACCACGGCACGACGTTCTTTTCCTTATACCTTCTGTCTTCTTTATTTCCCAGTTTGCTGCGTCTAAACTGCCTTACAAATAGAATAATTGAAATCATCCACCCCAGCATTCATATCCATCTTTTGCATTTCCTGATCACTAACTATTCTAATACTAGTCAATAACCATATGACTGTTCGCACCACTAACACGTGACCCTACACTGTGTTCACTGCATCATTCCATCTTCGCACTGATCACCACCTGCATTCATGTATATATCTATCTACTTAGCACTTTTAATTTTTATTTTTATGTTTATTTAAGCGTTGTCTGACAGGATGTGTTGCACTAAGCACCGTAGCAATTTTCTAATGTTGTAAACCTGCTCAACATTTGGCAATAAAACCCTTTCTGATTCTGATTCTAAATGTATCCCAATCAGCATTAATGAAGCACCACTTCTACACACCTATATCCTGGTTCTCTACACTCAGCTCAGTCATCATAGGATAATGGTCACTGCCTACAGTTGTCTCTTTTTTTAAACTGCCATGAACAAATACCTGCCAACGAGTCTGACACTTTGTGAGATGATTGCTGATTCTGCACCTGTTCTAACATTAACTCTTGTACCACTTCCATCATACTTTTTTAGCTCTATCAATTCCTCAATCACTGCTCCATTCCGATCATTATAATTACCCCATAATGATCTGTGTGCATTAAAGTCCCCACACCAAATTACGTTTCCCTTTAAATATGTGCCAAGTTCCTCTACTGACAACAGTTTGTTAGCCGGATTGTAAAAATTGATCACTCTGATGCTGCCATTTCTTGATCAGATTTCAAGTACAATATAACTGTGTTCCTATAGCTACAACTCTATATTGGATCTCTTGTTTCACAAATGTTGCACATCCTCCTCCATTACCCTCCTTTCTATCTCTGCGGACACTATCATAACCTGAATACAGATTATTTCTGGTTTCTTTTTGCATTTTTTGATGAATCCTTTAAACTCTTGTCCATTTGCAATCAAACTTCTGGTGTTCCCCTGTAAGATAATCATATTGTCCCCTCCCCTGGTCCTCCTCCTTTCCCCTCCCCTTCAAGTCTTTTATTGGATATGTTCCCAAGATATTCTTTAATACCAAAAAACCTCTCTGCTCCTTTCAGTTATTTTAATTTTCTCTGTTTTGTGTTTCACTTGATCTGTGCAATTTATAACATAGGCAATAAACAAAATAATCTTCTCCACTGTCAGTCCTGTATGAGTTCCATGTGTCTGTACTAAATCTGCTGTCGACATTGGTTAAACCGGTCCTGTTCCATCCTTTGCCTTCTGTACCCTCTTGACAGCCTCTGCGTAACTTATGTTGTGAGCTGCTTTGACTTGCTCGACCTCCATGGCCTTCTTTCTGACTTCACAGCCCCCATAACTTACCCTGTGCTGCCACCCACAATTACTGGATTTATCCTGTACATCATCCCCACATTCCCCAAATCTGTTTTCACCTCCACACTTGGGGCACCTCTGTTTCCCCTTGAAAACTGCAGTGATGTGCCCATATCTTTGGCATTTATAGCACGTGAGGGGCGGTGATACATATGCTCTAACCAGAAAGCTTATGCATCCTATTTTAACTTTATCTGGCAGGACAACCTCCTGAAATTCCAGGGGTACCTTTTGTTATTCTTCTTCGTCTATCGGTGGTATCTATTAACGGTTTTACGCTAACGGTTCAATGTAGCACATTGATGTAGCAGCTGAGCTCAACGGCGCCATCTACTGTAAGACGGTGGAATTACACACGTAAATGAAATAGTGACGCGTTGTGATTTAATAATTTCAAATGCAGTTATTATTATGTGTAGCAGAGTACAGTTTCCTGGAAGATGTGCAATGTGTTATTACGTGTAATTTACATGTTCTAAATTACGTGTTAAATATACTGAGATAAATTTACATACACAGGTATATCTTAACAGTACTTTTAAATAAAAACTTTGTCTAAGGTTTTATGGAATTGATTATGATGAACGGCCTTCCTAATTTAACTAGATGAACTTGAATTTAAAGCGATCCAGTGCACAAAATGCAAGCACAATTACAGGGGTGTCTTCCCTTGTATTAGCTTTCCACTTTGATGAGATGCCTCTCCTTCCCCAAGCTTGGGTCTGCCAGAGATATCTTCCTTCTCTCCACCATCACCAGCTGCTTGCCTGTGGGCCCCTCTTTCTACTTAGCTCTACAATATAAAGCCACGGGCCTCTTCAGTCAATGGCTGGACCCCCTTTTGCTTTAAGAACTGTCTTAATGCTTCACGGCACAGATTCAATAAGGTGCTGGAAACATTCCCAAGATAATTTAGTCTATATCGGTATGATAGCATCAAACAGTTGGTGCAGAAATGTTGACTGCACATCCATGATGAGAATTTCTTGTTCCACCACAACCCAAAGTCAGTCCATCTGTCTGTCTGTCCATCACAGGGGACAGACATCTATTTACTCTGCCGAAGAGTAAATAGATGGTTTTGCTTTCATGTTCAGCTTTCGCTTCACCACAATGCCCACATCGCTGGAGAAGTGGCCCAAGTCCAGACTCTGGGATGTGGATTGGTGCCACATCCCAAAATGAAAATATCCACATGCACACATATTTTAGAGTAATCTGACCAAGCAATCTCTTCCCAATCCACTCTTGTTCATTTTTGACAAGCCCATTTGAATTTTAGCTTCAGCTAAGAATGAGCTTCAGCCTCATTCTTAGCCATTTTTACCCAGTGAACTGCAGCTCGTGGAATATTTTCTCATTTTCAGACCATCCTCTGTAAACCGTAGAGTTGTGTGGGAAAAGCCCAGTAATTTAGCAGTCTCTGAAACTTGAATCACCTTTCGTCCCCATTCTTATGCTCAATTTTAACTTCAGCAGGGCTTGACCATGTCTGCCTGGATAAATACATTTAGTTGCTGCAATGTGATTGGATGATTACATTATATGGAGAAACCGGTGAGTAGACTCTTGTTTGACACTTTATAAAAATTATAACATACTATATAAATAACATTAGACCATATTGAACTGTCCCCTTCTTCCATTAACATTTAAAATTAAGTAACTAATTAAGTACCTTGCAAAGATTAGAACATGAAAATGTTATAATTTGTAACTTCATTAACACACGTAACCGCCGAGTTTTCTCATTTTCAGGTAGCTCCGCTCGGTCACGTACTACAGCAAGATTTGACCTAATTCAGGGGCGACGAAATTCTTGAGTCTCAACCAGGATGTGACGTCTAAGAAACGCCCTCTGGTGGGTGGGGCCAGAGTGGGAATCAGCCAATAGACGAAAAGCACCTCTTTCACAACATTCCAATCGCTCCTGTCCCATCCTCCCTCCTCCTCTCCTCCTGCTCCTCCTGCCCGCCTGACACACTACTGTGTGTGGAGCTGTGACACGTAAACTTTGTCCGTGACCGCACAGAACTCCCGCATCTGGGTCAGGGAGAGCAGAGAGACCCTCCTCCTCCCTGTCCCGAACCAGAACCCGGCATTTTTCTAACATGGAGGCAAGAGACGCTACGGCAGGTGAGGTTATTGTGGCAGTGGCATATCGTGCGGGGTTGTTGTTTATGTAATAACGTAATAACCAGTTAGACCAACATGTAGCAAACAACGTCTAAGCCTGAGTCGTGTTCAGTGTTTAAATGAGAGCTGGAAGGTTTGTAACTCACACAGGGACTCTGCGTGAGTGAGTTAATTCATTTTGTGTTTAGTACATAAAAACATAAAAACCAATTTGTGCCCTGCAGGCGCTTTTGTGCGCCGTGAGGGAGATGATCAAACTGCAAAGGACCAGCACAAAGCTCCCAAACGTGAACAAACGCCCACCAGAAGCAAGATGGAGCAAATATTTGGCTTCAAGAAGGAGGACCTGACTTCCTGGCACAGCTTTGTGGCTCTCCTGAACCGCCCCACGGATCCTGCATCTCTGGGCATCTTCCGCTGCTTGTTTGGTAAACTAATCACACCTGTACAGTCTGCCTGCTGGGTATACTGACTGTCTCAGACCTGCTGTGATGCTTTTGATACTTTGTGCAGGTTTGCTGATGGTCATAGACATCACACAGGAACGTGGTCTCAGTAACCTGGACTTCAAGTACCTGGATGGGGCCCCCGTGTGTCGCTTTCCTCTCTTCAACTTCTTACAGCCCTTGCCGCTGGACTGGATGTACCTGGTGTACGTGGTGATGTTCCTCGGTGGGTCAGGCTCAGTGTTTCCAGGTTTATTCCCGACTTGAGAGAACACCTGTTTTTGAGTCTGAGTGGATGCAGTCTCTCTCTCTCTCTCTTTTTTTTAATAGGAAGTGCTCTCTGTGGGAAACACATGCCTGCATTTTTCCACTTACATTTTTACTCCCCAAGCCAGCCGACTCTTGCAAGTTTTAAATCAATGAAAAGGTAGAGCTCACTAAAGATTGAGCAAGAAAGCAAACAGACAGCAGATACAAAGCTGGGACACATCAGCCTTATTAAAGTTATACATGTTTTTCACTATAACCAACAAGTTTAAAAGTGTTTACTAGTTATTAGATTAAATGAGCGGAAGAGCAATTTTGCATAGATTTCTATAAAATTGGACCTCTTTCCCCCCCAGAGTAGTCGCTCAATGTTGGCTGTTTCTTTTGGACCCAGGAGTTTGGATACAAGCTGCAGAGAGAGAGAGAGAGAGAGAGACAGTAAAGGAATGAAACTAGAGGCCAGATTTGCACATACGTAGCATGCACCCTGACCACTCACTCAGAGTTGAGCATTTTTTGGGTTTTTGCTGTTATGAGATCCTGAAAATCAGAAAACATCAGCCTTTTAACCATTTAATAACTTAGAAGTAAGTTTAAGTAACTAAGTTACTAAATACAACATAATATTTTCTTTTAGTGATGAGTGATCCCATTAGAGTCAAAGAAAGATAAAGCGGGGTATGCATGTGGTGTTGACAACTTTTTACTTTTATAAAATTACTTTTCATTAATTCACTTTTGTGCTTACGACTGTTTTATTAATGATTAGTGTCTTGATAAAGTCACGACACTGTGACATCAACAAGTTGCCTCTTGCAGTGTCCTTCGGTTATTCAGTCCGATCCACTGTTTGCTTGTGATGTCACTGAGCGGTGGGTCAGTCTGGTAAAAAGCCAAAAGTTACCGTTTAAAAAAAAGAAGCTGGGCCCTACATTTCCCATAATGCAACACTAGCATCTTTATAGCCTTGATGACTAGTTAAACTAATCATTTCCATTTAAAATGTCGCTTTACAACAAAGTTAATTGCAATGGCTTCACTGTGAATTCAAAAGTTCCCTTTTAAAAAAAAGTCTTCACAAGCTGAGTTGTTTTAAAGTTTGTTTCCACCACTGGAAAAATAAAGTGTTTTGCCATCCATGAGTCAACATTTTAGCTTATTATCTCAGAAATCTTGACTTACTGACTCAAACTTTGAGTAAATAACCTGATATGAAAAGCGTTTTTGTTTTCAGTGGTGGAAACAAGCTTCCATAGAGTCAGGATAGTTAGGAGATACTATTCATGTGTAAAAACAGACTCATTAACGATAAGAATCTGTTTATTTTTGTGGTTGTTGTTTTTGACTTAAGGTGCTTCGGGCATCATGCTCGGCTGCTTCTACCGCCTCTCCTGCCTCATGTTCCTCTCCACGTACTGGTACATCTTCTTCCTGGACAAAACCGCCTGGAACAATCACTCCTACCTCTACGGCCTCATTGGATTTCAGCTCACACTCATGGATGGCAACAGATACTGGTACGGTGATGTTTAGTAATCTACTTGAGTGTATGTTTGTTTCTTTCATTGATGTCCGTGTGTGTGTTTTTGTAGGTCCATCGATGGACTGTGGAGACCCTCTATAAGAAATGCTCATGTGCCTCTGTGGAATTACACACTGCTGCGAGCTCAGGTTTGTTTATTTAGCTCATTCATATGATACGTGTTTTTCAGCTTATGGATTCATCAGTCACCTAATGACATCTCTGCTGTTCCTCAAAGATATTTATAGTATACTTCATTGCCGGAGTGAAGAAGTTGGATGCTGATTGGGTGGAGGGATACTCAATGTCATACCTGGCTCACCATTGGCTGTTTGACCCCTTCAAGTAGGTATTTTTTGAAGCCTTTAACTGTGATTATCCCAGTAATTTGCTTCTGATCATGCCTTCCCCTCCTTTATCAGACTGATTCTTCCTGTGGAGTTAGTAAGCCTGTTGGTGGTGCACGGAGGCGGTCTCATTTTGGATCTGACTGCTGGCTATCTGCTGTTTTTTGACGTTACTCGGCCTTACGCATTTTTCTTTGTCAGCTACTTCCACTGTATGAACTCGCAGCTCTTCAGCATTGGTGAGTTATTCTTTTTTTAAAGGAATACTTTTAATTCTGTGCTGTCATTTTACCTTCGTCTTAATCCTCCACAGGGATGTTTCCCTACGCAATGCTGGCCACCAGTCCTCTCTTCTGCTACCCTGACTGGCCAAGAAATTTTTTTGCCCATTTCCCATCATTCCTCAGGCCAGTCCTGCCCCTCACTTCACCGGGGTCCCAGCACAGCCCTTCCTGTGTTTACGAAGAAATCCAAGGCAGTGACACTCAGCAAAGACAGACCCCAGCTGCTGCCAAATCATCCAAATTAAGACTAAAACACAAGCTGGGAGCCATTTTTACTGTTCTTTACTTAATGGAACAGTTCTTCTTGCCCTACTCTCACTTCATCACACAGGTACTAAGATCTTTGTTTTGAAATGCTTGTACAGATAACACATTCATCCATGAAGCCCTCGTTGAGTTATCTGCTGAGACCAATGGTTGCTCAATCAGAGTCAACAGCAAAGAGCAGCTCTGACGTCTGTTGTCAACAGAGAGCTGAAAGCTTACTCATCAACAAGTCCCCACTACACTCAGTGGTGAATTGAAAGTGTGAAAATGGTGATGTGATTTATGACTTTACTTAAACTTCTTTTTTTTTGTCAAGGGTTATAACAACTGGACTAATGGCCTGTACGGATATTCGTGGGACATGATGGTTCACTCTCGCAGCCATCAGCACGTTAAAATCACCTACAAAGACAGGAAAACGGGTGAAACTGGATATCTGAACCCAGGGGTGAGTTACAGGGGAAACACTGTCAGACTCGATAACGTTTGCTATCTGCGCTAAAAACCCCCAAAACAAAACAAAAATTAGTGCTTACAGAAGTGCTTTGACTATATTGTTATTATTAATATGCATTAGTTATAACTGTAATCTGTGATGTTTGGAATTCCTTTAATTTCACCCGACAGTGTCTCCATCTGTATATGGATGTTTCTTTAATAAACAAAACTGCTTTTCCTTGACCTTTTTAGATTGTAGTCTTTCCTAAAGTCTTGCTCTTCCAATTCACAATCTGCCTGCTGTAGGTGTTCACACAGAGCCGTCGCTGGAAGGACCACGGAGACATGCTGAAGCAGTATGCTACATGCCTCCATCAGTACCTGCCTCGTTATAACATCTCCGATCCTGAAATCTACTTTGACATCTGGGTGTCCATCAATGAACGCTTCCAGCAAAGGTACGAGAGCTTTTTGTTTTTAGCCTTGTCTCAGAATTGTAAAAGGGTGAGGTTTAAATCTGCTCTGGATGCTTTTCTAAGGATCTTTGATCCTCGTGTGGACATTGTGAGAGCTGAATGGTCACCTTTCAAACCAAACAAATGGCTCATGCCTCTGCTGGTGGACCTCTCGCCTTGGAGGCCCAAGTTCCAGGAGATCGAGGGAAGTTTGGACAATCAGACTGAAATAGTCTTTATTGCGGATTTCCCAGGTTACAAACCTCACTTTTACAATTTTTCTTTTGGATGAAAAAGCCATGCATGGTGTGTTGTTTTATTGTTATCTTCCCTTTTTAGGTCTCCACTTGGAAAACTTTGTGAGTGAAGATTTGGGCAACACCAGCATCCAGGTGTTGCAGGGCCAGGTGAATGTAGAGATAGTGGAGGAGAAGAAGAACTACACTCTGCAGCCCGGTGAGCAGATAAAGGTACAGCTGCTCACCATTGTCACTGTTCATGCTTTGCTCTTTATCTTGTTTTAGTACTTAACTTACTGTGGCTTTGTGTAGGTAGCTGCTGGGGCTTATCATAAGGTGTACACAGTGTCCGAGGGCCCCTCTTGCTACATGTACGTCTATGTAAACACCACAGAGGCAGCACTACAGAAGAACTTCACCAAGCTGTATGAAATCCAGGAGCGTGTTCGCAATGGAACAGGTGAAGATGCTTTGAAAAATAACACATTGCATAGCTTTTAGTGGATTATTTTAAGGGGTTACAGAATAGTGGTAAGGTTCCTGAAAAAGATCTGAAAACCTACGTGCTCAGTGCTGTGCAGGTTACCCGTGTACCCACAAAACAGGGCAGAGGATTCTTCAGGTTGTGGCTTGCTTTTGTTCTCCCCTTTCTTTCCATGGATGCTCAATTGGGTTTGAATCTTTGGAGTTTGGAGGCACAAGTTAAAGTTGTTCCCTTAGCTCCCTGAGCCGTTTCAGAGTAGTTTTTGCATTGTGGCGAGGCACAACTTCCTGCTGGAATACTTTCAAAAGTTGCTACTCCAGTTACAACCGCAGATGTCTGTACGTGCTGCAGGCCTTCTTTTTTTCTTTCAGCTGCTCCCTGTAGAGGTCGCTATAGCAGATCATCTGCCTCCTCCTCTGCATGTCCTCCTTCACTTCACATTCCTCTGTTCCTTGTGCCTGACAGCTTCTCGTGTCCAAACTATCTCAAACTGGCCTCTCTAGCTCATTAAGGATGTAGCAATACATAAACAAAAAAAAATGCAGTAAAAAATCAGTAAAGAAGGCCAACACTGTAAACAATACTGTAGATATATAAAAGTTTATGATGCTACTCGTGGGGTGGGGGTGTGTGCTTAGCCTGGTGGTGTATAACAAAGTCGAGGTGACTTTACATTTTAATGAAACAATCAATCTATTTCCATTCAGCTGTCGATGGCTGATCTGCATGTCACTAAAAATCCCATTCAGCTCTCTCCTGGTGTGCCTGCTTTACTTGAGTCCGTCTCACCCCACAGAAACCGAGCCACTTCCTCCCGAGCTGCAGCCTCTCATGGCTGCAGATGATGACGAGGGTTCGGAGGTCAACGCCACTGACCCGATTGTGCGGCTGTTCCTGAAGAGGCAGCGACGGATGAAGGAAGTTAAGAAACGCAGGGAGGCCGGCATGCTGGAGCGACTGCAGCGCTTTGCCGTGAAGAAGTATTACACAATACGCAGAGGGTGAGTGCTGAGCTCTCTGAGAACGCACAGATGCAGACAAAGTGTAGAAAAACCAGTTAAACAAACACGCGAACTCTGCACATTTGTCTTCCAGAATCTTGATGACAGCCATTGCAATGAGAAACCTGGCGGTGGGTCTGCCTCCGCTCGAGCAGCTGACGAGGGAAGTTGCCTACGCCAACATGAAGGAACCTCAAGCAGAAGCCAGTCAAGACGAACGGCTCAAAGATGAAGTCGGTCATGCAGAACTTTAATCCCACTGAGGCCAAAAAAAATACTCGGTGAATTGCCTGTAGGTGCTGAATCACACATTCCCATCAATGTGAGTGTGTGTCCGCGCTATTACTACTGGACTGTTACTACACTGCCCGGAGATCACAGCGCTTTTATTTTCCGTTTTCACTTCTGAAACATTTCAGATTATGTCCAAATGTAAAGTCACTACGTGGTTAGAGCTTTTGTTAATGACCGTTTAAAAAAAAAAAGGGTTGTTCTTAAAAATAAGTGCGCTTAAAAAGACAGCAGGCATTATTTGCTAGAGGAGCATATGTGTGTGTGCAAAAATGCTAATGCTGTTTTGAATGACAGAAGTGAAGCAGGTGGAAGCATGTGACTGAAGGAGGAAGGGTTTTATGTTTCAAAGGGACAGATCTCAGTGACCAGGATCCTTTTCTGTTCATCTGCCAGCTCCAACGAGATTAGAACAATTTGAGATAAATTATGTTTACAAATATTCATGATACTTCAGTCAGTTTAACGTTCTAACCAGTTATGGTACGATGCAAGGGAAAAAAGTATTTTCTGTCTTTTTTCTTATGGAGATCTATTGATGAAAATAAATTTTGATATTGAAATGAGTCTGACGACAAGCTTGCGGAAAATAGAGAATTCTTTTTCCTTTTATTGGTGTCAGTATTGTACACATTACCCTTCATAAAGTGCTACAGCAGACGTCCAGTGTTCACTGTAGGCTGGCATTATGGCACAGAATGACACACGGCACACAATATAAATACATATAAATCTACAACATGGATTTCCAGGCAATGATTTGCTAAGACACACAATCACAATCTCTTCATTATTCATTGTTTGGCTATAAATGTGTAGTGGAGGTCCAGTCACGTTAAAAAAAAAAAAATTATTAGGTTATTAATTGCTGTCCGAAGAGTGTCCAGTGACAAAGTTTCATCAAAAGCTACCAGTCATCGAAGGGTGTTAGATTTTAAAGTTTTACATGAAATAAATTCCAGGCAGCAAGATAAAGACAAAGTTTTGTGTTTCATATCATATTGCACTGTTATTTTACTGGCTGTAAGTCTGCTAAACCACCACCCTTTTACACGGCGGCGCCAACTATGCTTCCAGTTACCACAACTTAACTGACCCTCGATTATATTTGTGATTTAAACATTAATACGAGTGCGTTAGTGTTAGAGACGGGTCACAAATTGTTCCCATAAAACAAATGAACACGATCTGCAAAGTCATGCACAAACAGTGAGAAATCTACGTGTACCTACAGCTTTTACACACATTTCTTATTTTTTTCTCTGCTGGGTTGAGAACTGGAGGCTCTCTTATCATCTAAGTCGGTGGTGTGCGTTTAAGATGACGACTGAGCAAACCCTTAATTTCAAAAGGCTGAGATTCCCTGTTTTTTTTTTAATGTGGGAAAATCTGCTGAGGGAACGGAAAACGCAAGTGAAGCCAAAGTAATTGCACCGTTCCCATCTGCATCTACTAGTCAGCTGTGGCACATATTTCAGTCTTTGTCACTTCATCATAGCGAGCTCACTAGCACAAATATCAACACTACAGTACTTCTCACAGACTTCGTGAAAGACGTCAATATCACAGCCAGAGCGTGTTTAAAAAGTCAGTCATTTCCACCCTAACGTCTCGCTGTCGGCTCCACCAAAACGCAAAAACACCCTCTTCAGTCCCTAAAAAAAAAGAATTCACCCACAGCACTCCCACAGCAGGCTCCTTTTGGCAGCTCGAAATAAACAGAAACACCACATCACTGGAGATAAAATAGAGAAGGGCACCTCCCTGTTTGCAGGCCATGATCCATCAAGCTCAGTCTAACCCTGTGCTTTAGATGCCAGAAATGCTCCTGTGCGTCTGGCACACTAACCCTTTTTCAGTTCATGAGAGTGCAAGAGTCATTCAGAATACACTGTAGGGTGACTAAAACAAACCAAAAAAAGAATATAATCAGGTCCGTTGCTCTTATGAGCCTCACATTTCTAATTCCAGTTGATCCTCCATGTGAATTTTGCTGGTTATGTTTTTTACAAAATAAAGTTAAGTTACAATGTATCGAGCTCTATTTTTTCGGAAAATGCGCCTCTGTGCTTGAACACATCCTAGTAACCAGTCAAACAGTTTCACTTCATTTTTACAGCGGAGAGTTTGTTAGTGGAAAACGGATAATATAGTGTTTATGCTTTAAAATGTGCTGAGTCCTGGCGTCCTTTCTTACAAAAATAAAAGAATGGATTCTTGTTATTTGCTTTGGAAGATGTGAAGGGCTCAGTGTGTCCTAACGTGTTATGTTCTTCATGAAGCACACCTGAAATGGTGCAGAAAAAAAAAAAGAAGCATCCCGTTTGTAGTGACGTCCCCTCAGATTCGGCTTGGAGGCTCTACCTCGGCTGAAGATCTGGGTAGTAAACTCCGTGCACCACGCCTTCGATCACAACGTTAGAAAATTCATCTGAAAAGGTGAAGAAGAAAGAAAAATAGGTCAAATAAAGAATGAGTACCTTTTGTTTTAAATGGAGAAGAAAGGAAAGCCTTTTAAGATGTTATGTGCACACACCGTGTCCAGCTGGCAGCAGGTAGGGGTCTCTCAGAAACAGCATGACCGGCTGATGTGAAAGTTTACTAAAAGAGAGGAAGAAGGAGAAATCAGGAGGTCTGTGCCAATCAATCTGAGTGAAGTTCAAGTGTAGAGCAAATAGTTACTTATGTTTTAACTGGTTAAAGTGCAGATTAAGAACGTGACCTATGGGAGGGAAAAACGACTCACCTCGACTCCAGTGATTCTGTATCAAACGACCTTAAAGAAGAAAAATAAAAGTTATGCCACATAGCCCTCCACGACCCTGGGAACAAGCGCAAATGCCACAAACTGGTCTTTTATTCTAAAGTAAACCAGCAGTTTACACTCACCCACAACTTTCTGTTTTTGGCACTGAAGGAAAATGGCGGATGTTCAGGAAATCCAGGAATATCTTTGGAAGGACCTCGTTTTCCATAATTATAGTCTAACAGAACAAAAGCAAATTTCAGTGTGTACGAAGCACCAAAACGAAGCATCCTAGAGGCGAGTTTGAATCCATTTAACTTCTTTATATCTGAGACAAACAGCCCTGACAGGTGGAGGGAATGTGAGTCCAAATACCTGCAGGTAGAGCTCTAAGCCATGTCTCCTCTGCTCCAGGACCTTGGGAACCCAGTTTCTCACATGCTTCGAGGGGATCTCGGGTGGCTTTATGGTCTTCTTCAGCTGGAGGGATTTAAAAGTGTTACACAAATGTGTACAGTTGCTTCAAAGTTATGTGCACAGTTAAACTATTTTGCCCAGAAGAAAACCAACCGGACATGTCTGACCTCATTCTCAGAGTTCCTGTCTGACACAGTGTCAACTCTCTCATTCAATGAAATAAAAATAAGAAGATCTTCTACATACCCTCTCTCACCTAACAAATTTACCTTTGCAGAGGATTTTGCTCAACAAAAGTGCTAGTATAACATTTCTTTATGCAAAAGCACTTAAGCTGGATGTTTAGACATTTAATTGATTTCACATATTTTAAATTACTCAAAATGCCAAACTATTTTTGGGGTCACCGAACAAACCACACCGAAAACAGAAAAACAAACGTTTAGCTCTGAGAAGCTGTTCATAGTTAATTGATTTGGAACATTTCAGCTAATAAACTTTTGTATGTTATGCCCTCTCTGCAACTCCTTACTCTCCTTGCAGCTGCAAATGCAACTGTTTTTGGGTGTTTCCTGGGCTTATTGCGGTTTATCAGCCTCTGATCGTTTGTAGATAAAGGCAGAGCTGAAGTCAACTTGTTAAGGGAAAACTTGTGGCTAGACGTTTTCATGTTATTTTAAAACTGAAAATATTTAGTAATTTAAAATAAAATCCTTGAAAATGTCTTTTTTGGATTACTGATATTATAGAACAATCAGCAACAAAACAATGGGACCATAGTGTGGTTATTACTATGATAAAGTAATTATTAGTCATTTAAAAATAGCCTATGTCTATCTGAATTGTGTATTTTAGTGTATTTAGCAAAGATTCTTTAAATGTTTATAAATTAATAAGTAAAAAAACAATTTGAAAAAGTGTCTGTTCTTTCCAAACATCAGTCAGGTTTGGAAAACAACACAGCACAATAACTGTTGCTATTAATGTAGGGAATGACATTGCTGAGACAATGGACTGTGTGTTTGTGCCACCTTAGTCAGTAAACAGATTACACAATGTGAACTTTTCTGTGAATGCTCTAAGCTGCTTTTCAAGTTATCAGCTAGAACACAGTCTGTCCATTTTGCTTGATCTTCCTACCTAATGTGTGTGTATCTATATATCTCTATATATCTATATCTCTATATATCTCTATATCTCTATATATCTATATCTCTATATCTATATATATCT